GTTTAACATAGCAAAGCATAGCTATTGTATGTCTGTAAGTACACCACATATTGAACACCAGTCAATCGCAAGCTCTCAAGTGACACAGCCATAGCTGCGCACCAGTAAGCAAATGATTTTTCTCCTGTTCAAGAACTGTAAAAACATGCTTATTAGTAAAATAGGTACGTAAATATAATTGAAGCTTTCAATGCACTGCTTATTAGTTTTAGAACAATAAGAAATGAAATAATGGCTTGCAATCCAGATGACTTGTGGAAGTTTCCAGCTGACTCATGGAAGTTTCTTAACTCTCAGACTCGTATAAGCTTGCTGCAATGAAACGAAAAGTAAATTTTTATGAGTTTAATATTCCCTATTGTTCCCAGTTTTATAAAGGTATCAAGTGTCTAAGCATGCATTATATAATGTACCCATAATGTGCCCATTTAAATACCCCATGTTTTGCTGCCTATCAGGAGTTTTCAAGATTTTTCGGATATAAAGCTAATTTCAGAAACAAATTTTGTATGATACTGCTAGAAGTTTCCTGCGAAATTTCAAAGCAGCCCAAAAATGACTGAAGTTTGCTATAGAAGAGAAGTCCAGAAAACCACTTTTTAAGATTTGAGAATGATTCTGCTAGCCAAAGTACACCATGCCAAAGTACACCACAAGACCAACATGAACTAGTACTTTGTTTTTTGCAAAACAAGGTAAAAAACAAGGAGCAATCTACAAAGCAATTATTTGCAATAGTATGCCAACAAAGTGACTCTATGATGTTTAAATGCAAATGCCGACCAATTTTCCGGACTCGAAGGCAACCCGAAAAAGCAGTCTAAAAACGCTGTTTTAAAGGCCGACAACCAGACTCGAGATTCTGCAAAGCAGAAGACCCTCCTCTCCACGCCTTCGGGCGAGGGAAGCGAAGGATGGAAAGAAGGGACCAAGAGGGGCGGGCATGGGTGGAAAGGGTAGGAGGGAGAGGAGGAAGCGGGCGAAAAGTGGAAAGCGCGAGCTGGTCGTCGGTCTTTAACTTAAATGAAAAAATTCCATGCAACCTCTGCATGGTATTGCCCACTTTCCACTTGTTTGATGCTAATATTAAGTTCTCATGCAACTTCCACTTCATACTGGTCGCTTTCCACATGTTTGGATGATCGCAGTGCCAAGCGTTGCTGAGGCCATTGCTGCCGCATACAGTAAAGATAAAGCTGGTATGATTTGGAGGCTACATTCAGCTGACCAAGCTCGCTTTACTGCAGCACCTATCTGCCAAATATACTCGCTCGAAGAACACGGGAAGAATGGTGGACAGTAGTTCTTCTCCTGGTCGCGGTAGGGAAATGCAAACACGAGAAGATACAGAAGTATGGCCCCCAGATGGCGGCTATGTTGGATATAGTGGAACTGAAATATCTGACCGTGGCCCAATCTAGCTTTTTCATGCGTAAGACGGGGATTCGAGGCTACGAGACCAAACAACCAAAATGCTTGCAATGAAGCATACGGCGACTGTTTGTAAGTATAAATGGAAAAAAAAAATTCCGAAAATTTGAGCAACGAGGTGTACGGTATCCGAAATTTCAGTCAGTGCTATACATTAAGTTTCATAGTCATAATTATACAAAGCTTGTATTAATAAGTTACTTTTAAGTATGTCTTCAATTTGCCACTTCTCAGTCAGCAGAAAAAGGGAAAATGTTTAGATGAAATAATGCTTAAGTACCATACCTTTTTGTGGCGCTATTTACGCATGCTCGGCAGTTCTTCAGCCAACCCTTGGCTCCTGCTTCAATTTCTTCAAGCGTTGCACCACTCAGGCCTTTTATCAGTCTGACTGCTTCTGTAAATGGGGAAAATATGAAAATAATAACCAAGTCCGTTACCCTGGTGCAATGATCACGGGAGATATGAAAGCCTACCACCACTACAAATAGACATGGGTGAATATATGAGTGTTCTGACCAGATTAAATGATATGTCACCCTTTTGTTAATGACTACCGACATAGGCTGTGCCGATTCATTTTGCCCGGCCTGACCATGCACACTGCATGACACTGCTAGTGCGAACACGAAATTAGCACTTTTTCATTGCATTTTGCTCATACAGAATGTTGATGCGCCCCAAATAGTACTTTAGGCTGGAGCTCAAAATTAGCACTTTCCCCCACACTAGCAATTCTGATGGCACGTATCAGTTACATAATTGAAACAAAAAAAAAAGACAGCCCATTGCTTGTCTGTGCTGACTGTGACGTGCAGTGCACAGCATCAGAATTTGCTTGAATGTGCCTACCGAATTACTTGTTTCAAATTCCCTGACCGGTGTTTCTCTCGAAGGAGTGCTTCTACGACCGAAGAACTCTGACCTGCTATTGGTCCTATGCTCGCCATAGTTGCTAAATTATGGAGCCCAAGTGGCTCATCCCTTTTAATGGATGGTTGCTTGATCTGCCTAGTGACATTTCTGGCAACATTACTCAGTGCAGACACGCTGCTGCACGACAGTTGGGTTTCGTTGCACACCGCCATACCACTTCCATGTGCCATTTTCCCTGATTTAGCTCTTTACTAAAATTTCCTTGACTTTCGCATATGGTTCAAAATTCCCTGACAATCCCAGGTTTTCCAGATTAGTTGACACCCTGTATAATACATGAAGACGATTTACAATTTAATACAATTTATTAAAATTCCTTGTCATGTTGCTGTTGGCATGTTTTACAGTGAGGGTTGTTTTAATTATTTGGAGCGGCACATTTCCAGAAATAATAATAATAATACTTTATTTTGTGCTAGTGTCCAAAAACAGCTGCAAAGACCTTGTTATTGGTACACTATAAACAAAAAATTAGCTTCACACTAAAAACAAACAAACAGAAAACACAGCAACATGAACAAAAGTAATCGTCACGTTAAAAACGCAGCTAAGTGAGCAAACAAAATACAGGAACATCAGAGGTCTGTAGAATGAGTACATGGCATGCTGAAAGCGAAACAAAGCCCAGCACTAAAAAACAAAGTATATATAGAGGTTACAATCTTTTTAGCGTTCATAAGAAATTATGTATGTGCATATATGTTCAGATCCACATCATGAAGTTTATTAAACAAGTGCGTAATTCTAGACATGGGTGAGGAATCATATGGGGTATTAGTGTAAAATGGTAAAATCACTCTACTACTTCGCGTCGGTACGTGAAAGTTCACGGATGATAAGAGTGATTGCTATCAGTCCGGCCAGAAGTTACTTTACGTAAAAACGGAACACGAATGGTACGATTTAAGCCGAAATAGTTTACAAGTGATTCATAATTATATTAACAATGTTGAAAGTATCTGTCATAAGCTGTTCGCACCAGGCGCTTCTGAACTCGCTCGATTTCGTTGCTCTGACTAGAAGACATTCAAGTCATGAACGAACCAAGGAACAAAATAAATGGATTAAACATGTAAAGCTAAAAAATTATGCGTCATTCGTGAAATTAGCCCCAGTGCACGTAGGGAAGTACCCACTATCGAAGTGACTTGTTCTTTAAAAGTGAGCCGGCTATCAACAACAACGCCAAGGTAACGCACAGTAGAAACACTCTGTATGACCGTTACACACGGGAGTGTGTATTGAAAACCAACCTGATCGCGCTTTGTGTACAATGAAATAATTTTCGTCTTTTGTGGATTGAAAAACAAATTATTAGATGAGCACCACCTTGACACGCTATTTATATCTTGTTGCAATAATGAACAGTCCCCCAATGTCACGAACTGATGAATATAGCTTGATGTCATCAGAAAACAATAAAATCTTAGCATATTTAACTCTTCAGTATCATCTAGAACAAGCACACGTCAAGTATCGCGACGTAATACCGCTTAAAAGTTTATGAGATTGGCGAAAAAGCGCATCCAAACGCTGAGTCAAACGTCATCGCGCAGAATAATTGTTTCGTTAGTTTTGTACTAGGTGGCGCCAGTAGCAAAACAGGGTCCGGATTGCGCATGTGCCTTTGTGCGCCCGCACTCTCCTCGTTGCTTCATCTGAGCTCAGCGACGGTGGAGGTCGGATTTGCGTGGAGCAGACTACACTTGTAACCCGTCGTGCGGGCTGGCGCAGATGTTTGGACCACATGGCCACGTGGTACGAACAGTCGATGACGACACGGAACCAGTATAGGCAGCCGCAATTAAAGTTTCGGTTTCACTTTCGGGTTTACGCTTAATAAGGATTGAGATAAAAATAGTGAACTTTCTGGGAAACAAATGACGTAGAACCGTGTTTTAGTGTTTCCCAAAGTATAATCATTAATTATCCCGATATTTTCAAAACTAACCGGAGCTGTCCTTTAAGGGGGCATTGAAGTCATCTTTGACACAGTCTTTTTACAATGATAACTCAATCTGTCATCTTTGACACCGTCTTTTTACGATGATAACTCAATCTGTGCGTTCCAAGCATTCTAACAAACCCAAAGTTGCAATCCTGCACGACCTGTTTCCCAGGAGATCTTTCTTGTGGTCGACTAAGAGTGCTTGTCTTCTAATTGCAGGCGATGGCTTCCCCTGAAGCCATATAACGGGGTATCCTCAGAATGTGTGCTTATGCTCTTTTCAAAACGAGTTATAATAACTTTGTTTAGAACCTGCATGGATTTTAGGAACTTCCTTGGTCTAGAGAATGCAGTACACCAGAGAGATGTGTGCTTTTGTATTGCCCTGAGATGAGTAGGCGGTTTTGTATTTTAGAACTTGAAATATGCAATAACTAATATCTTTTGAAGAATAAGATATGAAAAAAATGACCTTCAGATATGACTTGAAGGCCCCTTTAAGGTGCAACAGAGTAACACATGCGTTTTCTAGAAACTTGATTTAATCTTACCAGTTGCAGGCAGAACTCCTGGCTTGCTTTCAGCTTTTCCTCAATTTCATCAACAACTGCATCTGTTTTCAACGGTAGTGAAATACAGGCTTCTTCAGCTGGCTCGCAAGGTTCTTCTCTTTCCAACAGCTTTTTTGGTTATTGTTTTCAGTTGCTTCTTTACAAAGCGAAGCTCTCTTTGTATAAGACGTGAGAAATCTGAAAGCACAACAAAAGCAAAAAGCGCAAACATGTTAGACAACAGATAGAATGGAATGTAGTGTCGTTTCTGTTATCCAAAGGAGGGCACAGAGAGACGCACCAGCTCGCTCACATAAAGATATAGAAGCTACTGCATGCGCTATAGCAGTGGTCTCAAACTCATTCGAGCGTGGGGGCCAGACAGCGCACACCGGAAAGGTCGCGGGCCCACGTAAGACCGGGGGGGGGGGGGGGGGGGGTTAAAAGTTTTAAAGGAAAGAGACCTCGCTCTCATTACTTTTTGTAAAATCACAGTTTTGCCGGTGACGTCTTTCGTTTTCATTTGTTTTGTGACCACTTTGGGCCCTGCCCTGATATGACAACAAGAATTAAAATTACAGCGTCCCGCCAGCATGCTGGCATTTTTAATGGAACAAGAGAAGTACACCGTCGTTCCCGTTGCTCAATTTGCGCAGGAATTAACCAAGCTCAACACGTCTCTAAAAAATTGTCAGCTAATTTGAGAGTTGTTGCTTTTCCGACAATTCTTTTTTTTTGAAGGCGAGAATCCTGAGCTTGTAGCTCTATGTTTGGCAGCTGCTTCTGCTGATCGAGAGTTCGCGCAGCCGAGATCCATCCTTCAATGAATGGCTTGCGCTTGCAGCCTAGTAGCGGAATCGTTGTACGTTAAAGAAAGCTGGGAGGTAAAAAATAAAGTGAAGCAAAGGGCAAATGAACACAGATAAGTAAAAAATATGTTAATATCTCAAAAGAGCAGAGCTAGTTTTCAAGCGAAAATGAATCGACGAGATGAGATCACTATGGTCAAATACGATATTCTCTATGGCACATTCCTAGCGCACGAGACATGGGAATCGGGACTCGTAACCGGTTGCTTGCGGGCCGCGTCCCAGCGAGTCGCGGGCCGCATGCGGCCTGCGTGTTTGAGACCCCTGCGCTGTAGCATCCACTAGCGCTGCTACTTAAATAGCAATACATCAGTTGCACTGACGTAATTTGGTCCTTTTTTTTTGGGTGGCCGAACTTCCTCGAGCATAGCCTATACTGTACCTATTCTACAAGCAGGTCGTGAGTGAGCAGAAAGGAGTCAGTGCAGCTTGCACCGGATTAACGGCACGCTTCTGCCACCAGCGAGGAAGGACATGACGCCACATACAGTCCACGCATATAAACAGTACATTCAACATTAGGTTAAATATGATCATTAATAACTGCCACTGATAAGAAACAACACATCTGTATTCTGGACGATCACTACTGTAAATTAATACTTTGGCGGGTGCGACAGCTTGCAAATTTCACAAAGTGCCAGCTTTGGCACTACGTTGCATGCACCGACATTCCCAATTGGGATCGGTATGATATATATTCGTATCCATGAGGTGACATCTTCGTGGAAGTCATTTTTTGTAATTTTTTTTTTCGAATTACGAAGTTCGACAAAAATGGGCACCTGTGAAAATTAAGTTGTTTACAGTATATTTCTCTTTGTAACTGCCACCTAAGCGGCTACTGAAGTAGACAAGATCGGAACATTTGCAATGCGACCTGCTGCTACATGCGCAGTATACACAACAAATGCAGTTGTGAGCACTGTTAGTACCATTGAGTCACAGCTTTGTGAGCCTGATTGTCTGAAGACGAGCATTCCTTCTCTGAGACAGACACTCTGTGCATGTATGTGTTAATTGTCTGAAGACGGGCATTCCTACTCTGAGACGGCTCTGTACATGCATATGTGTTAACATTGTGCAGCTCCTAAACTTAGCAGTGCTTCCGTGTTATGTGCTGTGCTGGAGGGCTCTCCCAATTCGAACGAATTCAAATGTGAACAATGCCTTACAACGGGCATTGGCAACGTTTATTGTTTGCGGATTGTGTGATGGTGTTACACACAGGCTGCAGTCCGATGCTGGCAGAGTGAGAGGGGATCATTAAGTGCGGGTTTTACCATGGGTTTTTTTGAGAAAAGGCTTCGGCATGCTGTCCTCGTCCCTTACTGGGCTGTGAAAGGCTCAGCATGCAGAAAACCTCTCCTCTGCGAAATACTGTACGCTGTGCATACTTTCATTCTCCAGAGACTCAGTTTCTGTGTTGAGTGATAAGTGTTGAAAAGGTGTATACGTTAAAATGAAAAAGCTTACCTGGAGGGCTTGATGAGGGTGGGACCATGAAGTTGCCTGCAGCTTCGTAATCACCTCTCTCACTGGAATGTGAAGCAAAAAGAAAACACTAAAGAGTGTTATCAGGGTATTCTGACTGCTCGCTTCGCTCGCGGTAGCGCACTGAGCCCGAGCACAACAAAGGGTTCAGTACACCACCATGAGGTACCATGGGAGCAAAATTTGTACCTATATTGTCAGAGTGTTTCCAAATAAAGCCACAGAGAGCACTTGCAATCTAACGGTAGCACCAAAGGAACAGTACATGTAATAAAAAAAGGAAAGGAAAAGGATTTAGTATTTCGACACCTCCTTGCAATGTGGCGACTAGTGCAATCGATATGGCCTAAAAGAGAGGCATCTGCCCCCCCCCCCCATGTGCATCAATTCCAAACATAGAGTAGGATCAATGTCCAAGATGAAACATTTTTTCTCTTTTCTGTGCTAAAATTAAATACTTATTCTATCGGAACAAAAATAATAAAAAGTTAGAAGTGTTAGTTTATACCATGCATAAAATATTCAAGCAACTGCATGGGCGTTGATAATCTGAGTTTCACATGCACAGAAAAAACACCCACAGACCCCTGCTTTCTGCGAAAGTTAGCGATGCGATGGTACATGACACCAATTGAGCAGTTGAAAACGCCCTGTCAATTGGAAGCACCTTCCAGCATCTACAGCCAAAAATGTCACTGATCATACGTTTCAAGCTGTCATCGATACTCTGTACTGTTCAGATTAAGCACAGAGCGTACAATTGCCTTATCCAACTGTTGTTCTCCTTTAGCCCCACGCCCCTTTGTAATGCCAGTGGCAATGAATGTATGTGAAATAAATGAAGAAATAAAAAAATACATAGGCCCTATTGAAATTTATTTCATGTTCAACGCCACCTAGTTACTTTAAAGATAACTAAAATAACAAAGAAAAATAAATAGTATCATTTTGCAAATAGAAATGCTGATTTTGATTTTAATGATGAACCTAGATGTTGAAGACATCTGTTTTGCTTTCTTGGCAAGCAAAGAATGCGAAGCGTCAATTCGTGCTTGATTGCGAGGGAAACAGATTTGAAAACGGTCTCCCACATCGCTGCAACTGGAACTGGTTACCAGCAACAACTTCGCGAAGCAAGCGGAGGTCCTTGTCAGCCTGAAATCGTTTCCGAGGCCTACACTGCGACGCCTCTGCAAAAGATGTGGTTGGAAGTGACTGGCGGCAGACATCTTGGATTGAATGACAAACGTAAGCGGTGCCACCCTCCCTGTGCTTAGTAAACATGGCAGCAGAACGGAGCCTGCGCTCCGATTGCCCCTTGCCGGCTAGGCGTTGTGGGCATGCGCAGTTGCCTCCTGGCTCGGGTGGAGTCGGCCATAACAACAAAATCGCTTCAATAGATGTTTAGTAACTAAGTCTTTAGTAGACATTCCCTAAGTCTCAGAACCTTGTTATCCTCGGGGACGGCTTTTCTTCGCAATGCAGTCAAAGCTACGAGCGACTGTGACCTTACACAACCAGGGCACTGATCGAAGCTACATACGTGCTCTCTTCACTTCCGGTATGCAAAGAAAAGTTGTCCCCAAGTATAGTACCTTCCTCACGGGCATTTGGTCTGGTCGAGGTTAACACTAAAGTGAACAAGTTAATCATATCCGCAAGTCCTGCACTATCAGTAAGAGGTTCTTTTTAAAATCAGGGGTCTGGAAAATTGTCTCGCTGAACCAATGCTCAATTTCATAAAATATGGACATGTCATACCTGTCCTTAAATTGTGTGAGTTAAGTCTGCATTTGATTACATTCATAGAATGCTTTCTATGTACAAAATTAACAGACATTGCTCTTTACTTCGCTTCTCCATTACAAAATATACAACATTCTCTTACCTTTGATGCCAGAAAGGTGGTGATGAGGCTCCTCCGATTCCTTCCTCATGGTCAGACTCATCCAATGCATCTGCATCTTACAAAAAGGAGTCAGTGTTTTATATGGCAGTGAAACACATAACCTTCAGATTTCATATTAATATTTATCATAACCGAAAACACTTTCTGTGTCTTTGGTGTGTCTGTGGGTATTATTCATTTGAATTTTAAGTTCAGATAACTGGTAATATTGCATAAATTAAACTCCAATAAATTTGAAACGTTATATCACTGAAACTTTACTGGCAGAAAACTGTGATAAGTGTCAAATTTGCAATAAAAAATAAGCTCAGAAAACATGGAGTCCTAGGCAAAACATATCAATGTATAATGTTGCCAAAGTTCTAACAGTTCACATAAAAATTGAGCACCTTGGTCACTTGATGTTGCCACATCATCAGTATCCTCCGCTTTCCTTAGTTTCGATCTTGCTTTCTGGAAAGTATCTAAAAAGTTAAGCATACGATGAAATAGCATATTTCACAACCGAAGACTGTCAAAATCCAAAGTAGAGATGGCATATTTATTGAGGGTTGCTCAAAGATCAAATGAAGCATTCATCTAAGAAAAAAATGCTTACTAGAATGAAGCATTCGGCTAAGAAAAAGATTAGCTTGTTTAATTCCCTCCTACAAGAAAGGTGTAGGCAGTTAAAGGTGTTCCATAGCACATTGATTACCTCATATTAGGAACAATCAGGTACATGTGGGCTCGACTCTACTTCGAGACGGCAAGACCGCTCAAAAAAAGTGAGAGCAGCACAGACGCCTAGAACTATCGAAATTACATTAGCTCCCAAGGGGTCTTATTTTATGTAATGGGCTTCAGTTTATGTTAGGAGTACCCACTGATATCTTTGTGGTTGTGGATTGATAATAGTAGTCACTAGAAATGTAACATCAGATTTATGACCATGGTAGTTAGCCAAATTCCCCTATATTTTCTGACTTCGGTAGACACTCGGCTAAAAAAGCATAAAAAAGACAGAAAACTTGTTGGCTTGCCTACCTTCCTTGCTCAGGATGACAATGCTGTGCCTTGTGTATGTCAAATCTGGGGACTCTCTGAGTTTCACGGCTTTGATAGCTCTTGATGCCCTAAACTTCGACGGCCAGAGGCACTCTTTTCCATTGAGCCAATTCGACGGGACCACGGCAGCACTGTTATCGCTCAAAAAACGAACAACTGCAAACATATTGTCTGAAATGATGGAACAACAAGGTCATACAGTCGCAAATTGAAAAAGGAAACCAAATGTTAAAGTTTCATCAGTTTCTAAAAAACTACTGTGCCATCTACACACACGCCCTCCTGGGTGCATTTGCCACAGCCAAAGTAGCCCGAGTGCGACATGATACCCAACAAGAACGCTTTTGCTGGAGCATCACATACAAATCCCCTAATGTACACCGTAAAGAGCTTCCCAGAGAAAGGGAGCCCATTTGTAAGAAGATTTATGAAGGTCATCAAAAAATAGCGAAAGGTACTCATCGACTGAGGTTGGTTTCGAGTGGCCATGGTAGCAACCAACCAGGAACACTCCATTACCAGTTACGTCCGGTGTTTTCCCAAGTATTGGCCAAAACTGACTGTGCGTGCTCTTTGTTAGTGGAAGGCCGTCAGCATAGAACATGATGCCGAGCCGAGCGGGTACAGACGACATATTAACCACGTGTGAAAGTAGAGCCCTCAAGCTATCTGCAATGCCAAAATGGCAGTAGGATCCTGGAGGCACGCTCGTGATATTAGCTCTGCGAGGCGTGGCCAACAAAGTTCTAGCGTCGCCTGGTGTGCCCGAGTAGCACGGGTGCTCCTTCAGCTCTTTCGCCAGCGAGGAAAGGGCCCTCTGAGTAATCTTATGCTCTCCGGCCCATTGCGCCAAGAAACGTCTCAGGCGACGCTCTGGATCATCGGTATCTGCCGGCTGCTTATCGGAGACGCTCTCGGGAAGAGAGAGTTGTTCGGATAGAGCCTCGACCTCCTCACAACTTGAATCTGTCTCACTTTCGGTTATGTTTGTAGACTCATCAGTGGACGACTCTAGTTCACTTTCGGAATCAGAACTGGAGGATCCATTTCAGAACTTTAGACTGTTGTCATCGAGGGTATCGCGGGCGCTAACTTGGGAGTCGTTTTCACTCCCGGAAGCATGCTCTGAATTAACATTAGCAGTGCCAGCTGTAGTAGTCTCGAAACTGCTCAAGGCGGTAGCACGGGACAGCTCTTCGTTAAGGCGGCGCCTCTTCTGCCACCGCGACAGATGTTCAAACGGTTTCCTTTTCTTTGGATGCGGCATATTTTGATTACCTGATCTGTAGTGGCGGCTGATGGTGCGTTCGACTCAGTGTGGGTACACGGGTTGCTTGCCTGAATGCGCGGGTAGCGAAGCAGCTAGAGGCTGGAGGAGATGACGCCAGGGAGATCGTCTCGAGGAGCGCGCCAAAGAAAAAAGCGAAGTGACCCTTTCGCAAGCAGGTAGACCCAGACCGACCAAAAAAAAAAGGAAACAAATCCAAGAAATACGAAATCGGATGTCTTTTTATTAACAACTAAAATGTTCGTATTAAAAATAAAAATATATGGAACACTTTTGAACATATACGGATCTTGCTCGTTGATATGGGCCCTATTTATTAGTGTCGTGACGTCACAATGTAATGCGGCCCGGCCCACTGATGCGGTCCTAGCGTCTATTTTGTCTTATTCTGACTGGTGTGTTGCCTGCGTCTTCTTTTATCTCCCTCGGATTCCGGCTCATTACGCACCACCGAGTCATTGATGTGCTCGTCGCGACAGTGGCGGTGGTCCGGTACACACTCACCTCACCACCCCACCACTCACCTCACTATATATGGTGCTTCGAGCTCGGTCGGTTCCGTCTGGGAGGAAGTCGCCGAGTGGGCTAACGCGTCTCAGCTCGGAGCGTGGAGCGAAAGCTTGCGCTGGGAACCTCCTGGGTTCGCTCCCCGCCGCCCCCGCCCGTTTCGATCTGGATGAGTTTCGTACCGGCACGCGTTCGTGTGATCACTACTGCGTGATGCACGTTAAAAATCCCAGGTTAGCGGTTGACCGCACTGGCTAAATTTCTCATCTACAGCTAAGAGACCGATTACCCGTTGAGGCGCATCTCCATCAAGGCTGTATAAACATAAAGAGCAAGCCAATTTTTGGTCGGTTCCGTCCGAGCACCGTGGTGTATGCTACTTTTGTTGAGTGTTTCGGTAGATTGTGTGTTGTCATTGTGCTTGTTTTAGCACCATGTGCTTGGCTGATGAGCGAGGGTCCTTGGTGAGCGTGCGATAATCGTGGATTGTCGACGGGCGCGCGCGCTCGACCGCGTTGCGAAACGTCGGCGAAGCTTTCGCCGAGATAGACCCTGCTCGAATCTCGGCGTCGGCTGGCTGGCGACGGACGTTGCACAGAAGCCTGCAGAAGTCTTCACGCCAGCTCCCGTATTTGCCGTGGTCCCCTCGTCCCGTCGTTGCCCCACTCGGATCGCTCGGGATGTGTTGTGTGTTCGTCTGCCTGCCGTTGGGGCGTGTGTCAAGTAGTGTATCCGCTGGTCAGTTGGTTGAATGTGGTTGTGTTGGTGCACATTTTGCCAATGTCGTTCTGTTTATTCTGTTCGCTCGATTGAGTGAGTCGGCGCGTCAACGTGGACCTGTCTCGGAGCCGAGAAAGTGCGTAGGTCTAACGATACGGCCGCGCTTGGTCTAGTTCGACGGGACGGACGTCGGCTTCCCGTTTTAGGGTCATATCCGTGAGTTCCGACGCAAAAGTCTAGTGATTAGGTTTGTACACAGGACATATTAGCAGCGGGTCGCTGCGGCCTGCGGCACCATCTGCTTCTTTTTCGTTGATGTTACTTTCGTCACGAAATAAATGTTTTTTTACGCAAGTAATCTTCGCTATTTGCTCGATTTTGAACGTACCACAGCGCTGAGATACAAACTGACGCGGACAGACCATTCCTTTCGCAACGTAGCGCGGCCTGGCGAAGTGGACGACGAACACCGTCCGTTTCACGTCGTCGGACGTTACGTTTGTTCTTACCTGTACTGTTTTCTGTGCGCGATTAAGCTGTAAACGTGAGTGACGTCGCACAGAGGCTCATGAGGGGTGGAGAAATTTGTAATAATTAACGTGAAGTAATAAAAGCAATCGTTGATAAGGAAAAAAAGACATACCCATGAAAAACAGATTTATACAAAGAAACTTTTTCGGATATCCCGACGTTGAGATCAAAATGTTTTCGAGTTTACAAAAGACGTCTTGTAGATGTCTTCTGGACGTCTATAAAAATATGTCTTCCAGATATTATAAACGTCTTTACCTATAGACGTCTTTATCTTATAGTCTTATAGACGTCTAGAAAAGTTATCTTGTGAACATCTTGCGTAGCCCAAGACGTCTTGAGCTCATTTTAGACCTTTCAAGACGTCTACAAGACGTCCTGTGTTCACTGGGGGACTGTTGTAGCCGAAGAGCTTAACTAGGTTACGTTGTGCCGTAAAAACGTCGTCGACCGACCCGGCTGGTTGTTCTATCTGACGGTGGAAGTGGCGACGTTCGTAGATTGCGGCAGGGTCCACGAAATGCATGTCCAAGTTCACCGCGACGGCCGCGAACCGGGGGGGGGGGGGGGGTGGGGGGGGGGGGGGGGCTTTTCGGAGCGGACTCACAGGGCGGTGACAGAACGCGGGGGGCATGTAGTCCTATGCTGTAAAGTCGCTTCCGAATTCGCACCTCGTCACTGGCAGTGTTGAGACCGGCTGCGAAGGCGTATTATTGGCACGTTTTCATTCCCGGGCCATTCTCCCGGGCTGATGAAGGTGAACAATGCCGAAGGGTGAAGTTCCGACACTCCAACGCGGACGACTTGCATTTTGGATTGGGAAAATAGTCACCCGTCAATAAGACTTTATTCAGTCTTTCGCGTGTCCTTGTCTAGTCTTTTGGAGTGCCGTAAACTCGGCCCTCCGGTCGTGCCACCTCGGCAACCATTAGAAAAATGGTATCGGATCTGCAGC